AAATAAATATATAAACTAAAAAATAAAGACAAAATCTGTCAGAAAGACAGAAAATAAACCGCAGAGGCGCTAGGCAATACTCCTGTCCTACAAGCCAAAGTGCCAGCAGGGTGCCAGAGCAAATGGGAAAATCCTGCACTCATTCACTTCACAAAGCAGCAGTAGGTGTCTAGAAAATGTTTTTAGGTTCAAAACTACCTAGTTTCCAAAACATAAAATCTAAGCCAAAATGCACTGCTATAAGCTAACATATATCACCATACCTAGCATATATAGTCTCCTATTAATTAACAAGCGGGTATATCTTGCACTAAAGATGACATAGGAACTTAAGTAATTAAATCAGTCTACTGTGATTCAGGGGGTTCTAGGACTAAAAGACAAATTAGGTTTATTAAAGTTATTTTCAAGCATTAAGTTCATAAGTTATTTTCCTTTTTGTAGCCACTCAAGTTAATGACTTTGCACTTCTCCACTAACAAAGGAGCTTCCATGTGGGAAAAGCTCTCATAGACATAGGCATGAAGTCATTCACCACATGAAGCACTATCACCACTGATTTCAGACAAAGCACTCCCCTTAAGATAAAAGATGTTGGTCATGGGGATGGACAGGCATTTATGAAGCAGAAAACCCAGAATGTATCCCCTGAATGAAGAGATCTGTGTCAGAAGGCGGCCTAGGGGCTGCCACTTCGACAAGCATCTGAGGCAGATCCCCACATGGCAAAAGGCTTAACACCAATCCCTATGGTTCACTCGTCACTAATTACCACTGTCCTGCTCACAGATGGATGGATAAACAAATTCTTGCTCAGAAGAGACATATATAATTAGTAGCAGCCACATCAGATTTATGGGGTCTGTGATTTCAATCCCTCTGCAGGTTAAGGAACCAAGTGCTTTGAAGGCACAGTGGTAACAGCCGGACTAACAAAAGGTGTTTTCTTTCTCTTCAAACCCAGCCTCTTCTTTCATGGCACAGCCAAAACAGCCTTCTACCAGCAAGCAATTTCCCTCTGCCCCTTCTCCCTGTCACACACAGCTATGTGGATCACTATGCTTCCAGCAAGCAAGCAGACTGAAATCTGCCTTTCCTTTTGGACATGGTTTTCAGTGAAATCGTGCTCTCCTCCCAACTTCTAATGAATTACCCCCTGTGCTGATTTGATTTCTATTAGCCAAAAAGGGAATTTCATTTGCTGTTTGAATAAAGAGCGGATTAAAAGAAGAAAATAACCACTGATTCTTACAGTCAGAGAAGAGATTTCACTCCAGGAGACAGACATTTAATTCTGTTTGCCCTGACACTGCAGAGAAACCTCTTTTTGCCAGCACAAAGTGCTTGACTGGCTCTCCAGACAGAATTTTAACGTGAAATTACAATTTAAATTTCACTCTCTTCACACCAATAAGGATTTTGTGATAAGAGATCATGTCAGTGAAAAAAACCACCATAATTTTGTTGCTTTCAAAGTAGTTTGGTGATGTGATCAGCTCTAAAGCACCAGCTAGTGATCATGACTGATATCCCTGACTACCCAACACCCAAGAAGTCAGTGCTATTCTAAACAAACGTGAGGTTATTTTTAGAAGCAGGGAAGCAGATGGGAGTTTCAGTTGCTTGTGAGCACACATGCCCACCATTCAGCCTTTATGAATGGCTCCTTACAGATGGAGAAAGAATTCCAGAATCTGCTTCCACTCTTCTCTTTTTAGCAACATCACGTCATTCACTGCAGGGCAACAACCCCACTAATAGCCCAAACAACCTAAAGGTCTTCCAAGAAAAAAAAGAGTCTGTCGCCAAGCTCTGTGGCTGAACACAAAACCACAGATTTTATTTGTTTGGGTCAAAGGATATGACCTTTTCGCTCTTAATCTTTATTTGTCCTCTCCTCTCTCCAGGCAGAAATACAGCTAAATTCCAGCCAAGGTACTGGGCTCACAGGAAACACGTAAGTCTAAAAATGAAAACGTATTTTTGTAGATAAACCGGCCTTTCCTAAACTATCCCCAAACATGTAAATATCTCGTCATGCTGAGAAGCTGTGGTGCTTAAGCACAGATCAGATCCCTCAGCAAAGGATACTGCATCTTCTTCTGCAGACTTTCTTAGGTGACCATTTATTTAGAAGTAAGCTTTTCTAAATACCTGCTATAAAAATCAGGGGGAAGAGGGGAAGAAAAATTAATGTTATAAGGCCTTTGATAAACTTGACATGTTCTGGAACACTGAAATAATCCCCTAACATTTTGCTGAAGTTTGGTGTTGTGCATGTAGAGAAATACTAGTAATCATTATTCATTATTGTTGCACCCACTTAGCCTTGGCTTTGTTCAGAATTAAAACGTCATATTTTATATGAATTCTATCCTCTAACAGCTTTATGCTCATAAAGAACTGTCTTGTTCTAGGGAAGATAATTCCTGGATATTTTCATCTATGAAATAATATTTACCCAAGGGATAAATCAGTAAAATAACAGTGAAATTGGCACTGGAAAATAATGTTTTTATTTCAGTAATCCTGCCTGAAAATCTTCTTTAGGATGGAAGGGATTGGAAGTATTTTAGGAACATTCTGTGTGTCAGAATTCCTGTGGTACAGATTAGTGTTTCAAAGTCAGCAGTTTTAAGACAGACATCAATTTAAAAGTCATGCCTAGAAGCAATTAAGCCTTACTGGAGTCTTCATCCAAATATGAATAACAAGAGCAGTCAAAGTACTGCAGTTAATAGCTACCAGAAATGAAGATCATGGTTCATGATGAAGTCTTTGCCATAGGTCCACCACAGAGAGCACAACAAACTATGACCAAGCCATCAGTCTTGGTCACATCACAAGACAGTAAGGCTCCTTTCCACCTGCACCAGATGAATACTTAGTGCAGCTTTCAGACACAACCTTCAAAGAGCCATGAATAACCATAACTCTGTCAAAATCAATTTGATTGCATTAGAGGATTGTGATGTCTATCAATGACACTACTTTGTCAGATGAAGACAGAATCAACAATTAGCTTAACACCTGGGAGTCTCATGTTGGAACAGGTGATAAAACTAGGCACAAGGATCATTTCCATTTCATCCCCACAGCACAATTACCTTTCAGCTACTGAAGACTTCGGTCTTGGCGCTTTGCCATCCTGAATCCAAGCAATGCAAAGAGATCAATGTAAAGGTGGTGTCTATATCAACTAGTCACTGTTACCAGATATAAAGTTATAAACTCAGGGCTTGGTAACTCACTAGAGCTAGAGGACAATTGCTCACACAAACAAAACAGAATCACCTTCTTCTGACAGTGGGTGCAAAGATGGCGAGTCCTACGGTTGATACAGAACAAATGCTTTCTGCTACATTTAGCTTTCATATTCCAGAGAGAAAATGAGATGCCTGTCAGCCTCTGAACACCAATGGCAAAACCCTCGTCCCCACAAAACTTTGAGGCAAACACCCTAGTCCACAGTAGTGGTCCTTGGCATGCAAAAGGCTAAAATTCACAGCACCTTTCTTTCACCAGTGTACACACAACAACAACTGTATGACTATAACTCTGGGAATTATGCTTGACTTTGGGTTTCTATACTGCAGCTGCGGTCACCATGACAGGAGTCTGACATGGAAAAACACTGGATTTCTCTGTCCAAATACAGAACACTTGCTGCACAGCTATCTCTAGCCCACAGTTCGCATCTCATCCTCCAGAACTAAAAGAAAACCCAACACCTCTGATAGGCACTGCATTCCCAGCTCTTCCTTTTGTCTGGCACGCCTGAGCAACACTGGGACTCGATAGCAGGTCATTGTCTGCAACTGATACGTTGTCAGACAATGTGCACAGCAACAAGAGAAACTAAAGAGAGGTGACCTTGCTCTGTGCCTGCTCCATGCCTCACAGCACACGGGGACTATGATACAAAGGCTGAAAGAGAATTCCCTAGTGAAGATGCTTTCATGGAGGTCTCTGCTTATGCAAATGATGCAAGAATCTGGTGATAAGAGATGGGTAAGGTTTCGCTACAGATTGCTGTAGCCATACAAGTGTAGACTTGTACACAGCACAGAGGAAGCTATTTTATATATATATGCCCTTCAAATACCAAGAACATGTCCTTTTGTTCCAAATGGGCAGCAGGCTTAGCAGAGAACCCTTGCACCCCCATGGGCATAATCACAAGAGATCAGCTCAAGGAGAAAGCTCTGAATAAGGAAAGGCCAAATTCACTGCCACAAGCAACAAAAGAGCAGTGATATTTTAAGTGTCCTAAATATACACGCTTGCAGGTGGGAGCTAAAAAAGTTTAACATCCCACCTGAAATTCTGACCCAGGGCATAATCACAGGTCAAGGTTTCCAAGCTGCTGTGACCTTGATGTAGGCCAGCTGCAGTATTTCTCCTGCAGTGGCAGGAACTGACAGCACTGGCACATGTGGTGTGAAAGCAGCATGTGCTGTGCAGAGCTCATTTTCAATAATTAAGAACTTTGACTCTTCAACAAAGAAAGAACAAACCAAAGAACATAGAACAGTAACCAGCACACAGTGTTCTTACTAAAGCAGATCTATACAGTATTCTAATTAGAGCTCTTTATTTTTCAAGCAATTAAAGTCTATTTATATGTGACACAATAATTTTGGATCACCCTGTATATCAGAGTACCCTTACTCTGGCACATACACATATACTGGGAATATTCTGATCACAGTTAAAAGTAATTCGAGCACACATAAACTCCACTCAAAGACAACATTTAACACCAGCTTGTTAAACAAGGACTGGATTATCAAGATGAACATGTTTCTAAGATGCATCTGCATCCAAATATACGCATCTAAGATGCATATATTTGAGTTTACTGCACCATATTACAGGCTTTTACAGATTTCTGAATATCCAAAGAACTCAAATAGCAACCATCAGGGGAGTTCATAATACTGGCATAGGCACATGTGTATCAGCAGATAAGAGACTTCTGAAGCTGACTGAGCACTCACCAGTTCCAAACACTGCCGGTGCCCATATGCAGCAGCGTAATGCACAGTGTTGTACCCCTCTTTGTCTTGGATGGATGGATTGGCATCATTCTGCAGAAGGAATTCCAGACACCTGTGGACAATTCACTAGTGTAAATGTGAGCTCACGATATTTAACAGACTCACCTCTCACCACAATTAGGTGAAACTGGCAGTTAATTCTAGCAGCACCTCAGATCACTTTTCACCAACAGCTCCTCACATTCACCATTATTTCAAACAGAAAATTGCCACTCATCTTTGAAGACCAGCTGCATAAAAAACAATCTTCAACCTAATTTTTGCAGGTACTCTAGATTACAAGAAGTATTTTTTATGACAAAGCCTGAAAGAAAACTACAGAACTCTGTACCATGATGTAAACAGCCTAGAACTGCTACAGCTCATGTAAAAACTCTTATATCAAACTACTGGCCTCTAAACATGCACTATGGCCAGCTGAAAAATAGACATAGCTGAGTTAATTTCCTGGCCTATGTGTATATAAACATATTTTCTTCTTTGTTGTTTTTTTTTGGTTCATTTTAAATCATGTGCTTTTCAAAGGATCCCTTAATGTTCTTGCCACTTTTTCTTACACCATCATGAAATCATCATTCTGTTACTAGTTCTGTCTTCCACAGCTTGTAATTTGTGGTGAATGTAAGGCTGTCATATGAAAAAAAGGATTTTTAAAACAAAAACTCGTTAAGCAGCTAGATGAAAATGTCAATCTGAGTAAATGCATCGAGGAAGCCATTGGCTACTTCTTTTTGCAACATACATACTTGGTGCAAAGCATTAAAATAAGACAGTGCATGATACTGAAGAATTATTAAATTATTGAGGCAGTACGTTTTCAATTAAGAAACAGCAACAAACACAGAAACAGAAATATTACGTAATATGTGCACAGAGAAGAGTGTAGAGCTTTTTTCTTCAGGTTAGCCCTCATTAAAGCCAAGCACTGTGTTTAGCAGAGCAATGAACGAGCAAAAGCAGAGTGTAAAAGTGCAGCCCAAAGCAGCAGCATTCTCCAGAAATGAGGTCTAACTGCTTTATTGACACCAAACTTACAATGCAGCTTCTTTTTCCTTCATCTCAGTGGCTCTTTCAAGTTCTTCAGCATTTTCATGGGAGTTACCTACAATATTCTTTCTTCTTAGCATAGAGGACAGAAAAATGCAACTTATTTTATAAGTATCATACCAGTGATTTTGATGCAGTCTGACACCCATCCCCAACCTCCTCTTCAAGGAGCTGACCTCCTCCAGCCAACAGTAAGAATTATATAAATTAAATGAGTGTACTGTATGGGTCTGCAGCTGGTAAGTTTTGCAAGCTATGGAGACAACTACAACGTGGTAGTTTATTGACCTGCAAATTAATGCCAGGAATAAAAAAAGAAAGAAAGAAGAAATCTGGTTTCTATCAGAAACAGTTTGATCATCACTTTCCAGAATCCTTCCTTTTCTCCCACAGCAATATTGTGCATTTCGTTTCTTTTGCAGAGAGAACTCAGGACTACCAAGCCTGGTTCTTCCTACAGTAACCTGCTAGTTCTTCTCTAGGATTTCAAGAAACTTTAATCACTGATTAAATCAGCCTATTCGAGTCTGCATTAGCTGGGTTGCTGACTCTTCCTCACTTTCTGTGAATCATCTTTGAAACAATGTGTGCATCTCCTGGAGAGGTTCTTCAAATTCTTCAAAGAGCTCAGCATGTCTTCATATTCCTGTGCCCTCGGATCATTTTTGTCACCTCTGATTCCCAGTTGGATGGATGGCATGAGCTTTACAACCATGAGCTTTCCTGGCCACCAAGGCTAATAGAGAATACATTTACGAACTACTGTCATCATGGATTGGTAGCTTTATAGGTTTGTAGAAGGACAGTTTGCTAATTTCAATCCATATAACATGCAAATTCCAGACTGGATTCTGCACAACGCAGAACAGTACATTCCTCCTTTAATATGCATTTTCCCATTGTAAGATCAAGATCTGACATTCTTCCTGTGGGTGCTAGCAATAATACAAACCCAGGGTCTGTCTGATGTCCACTGACTCAGAGAAAACTTAATTATTAGTAAAATAACTCCCCTGCATATTAACATTGTAAGCTCATAAACAGTACTCATGTGCTATGCTGAAGTCCTACCTGCATCTGCTTTCAGTTAATTACAGATCAGTGAGATCCCAGAAGATTCCCTGAACAGAATAAGTGATGATCTGGAGAAACAGCACATACTCAGGAACTGCAATCATCTGTTTAATTAAAATGCTGTTGTGACTTCCATTGCAGGAATGAGTACTTTCTGAAGACCACAAGCAACAACTGTTACCAGAATAGCTGAAACAGTAGGGCAACCTCGCTGCACCAAGACTTCTCCTTGCTCATCACCTGCCCACATCCAAAGTTAACTAATTATGAAGATTCTTTGGACTGAGATGGCCTGACCTTGGG